GGTAAAGCATTTCATCGGTTGTAATCACTATTGCTTTACATCTTGCTCGACTTATCGCTACATTCCATCTATTTCTATCAAATAAGAATTCGGATTCTTTTGATATTTCATTTAAATCCAAGAATCCAAAACATGATATGACGATATCCGCTTCTTGCCCTTGCATCTTTTCTACGGTATTGATTTGTAAACTGATATCTTGATTATTCATATAGCTAACCAAGCGTGATTGAATCGCAAATCGTTGCCTATGATGTGGGGTGACTATAAATAATGATGCTTTGGTCTTCGCTCGCGATTCTTTTGCAGATTCGAAGTATGCCGAGGCTATTTTTGCCACAACATCTGCTTCATTTTGCAAAAATTGACTTGATACGAGACTAGAACCTATTTTGATATTACCGGCCATGGAAAGCTTTACTAACGTAATTGCTGAATCCGGTGATAAAATTCTTTGTATTAGCGGATCCTTGATATGCGATAATTTTGGGTCTTCAAAAATGAGTTTTTGATTTGGATGTTTTGAAATATAGTCATCGCCATAAATCTTTTGGAAGAAACAATTCAATTCTTTATTCTGAGCAACAAAAAAGGAATTAAAATATTAATGAATCGAGCATAATAAATCTGTCTAATAAAAATATATGTATACACGAACCATTCTCCAATTATCTCTGAGTTGAATTGTAAGAGGCCCAAAATCATGCTTTTGTCCCTTTTTCAAAAAGAAATCTTCCTCATGAAAAACGGAACCATCTTCCCTACGCATCAAACATTGTTGAACCGATCCAAATATAAGGGGGTGATCGGGCGGAAATACAGGATAAGTATTTTGAATAATAGGACCAAGTTGCTATATATCAATTAAGAACGATCAGAAGTTGCTAGAAAGAAATTTCGACAACAAAATGTTTTCACGTGCATTTTACCATATGATCCCCGGCAACAACCAATCTTCCAGATTTAGGGTTCAAACATTCAATTGCAAGGCTAGCATCTGAAACCAATAACTAGTAAATAAAATAAATAAAATTATGCACGGAGATTAAATGATAATTTATGCAGCAAATTTTTTTTCACTTGCCTGAGAACCTTCATCAATTATCATAATATCACATCCAGCCCAACCGGATCCCGATTCCCTCCTTACTTTATACCAATCCCAAACTGTACCGCCGATCACGACGGGTTTTCCAATCATTCCAATCTTATTCCCTGCGAGTTTTTTCGGTAAGGTTTCTGCTTTACATTCTTCCAAACTGTTATTCAAGGGTGTCTTTTTCAGGTCCTTGACTAAGCGAATGATTTTAAAATCATCTGTCTTATGGCGTTGTATTTGTACGCTTGAAATCCTGTCCAACAAGTTATCGATAGCAGCCCTCGTAAAAGCTGTTACGCCGATTATGTAATTCGCGTTGGCACTGGTTGGCTTAGGCTTAACAGTACTCAAGTACCAAGTGATAAACAATGCCAGAAAATGTGTTTTTCCGGAACCCTAATAAATGAAGGTTTATTAAAAATTTTTGAAAATGAAAAATGAAAAAAAAAAAAAATACAAAAGACGAATGCTGATAATTACGGGTGGCCCCCACACGATTTGAAGTCTCTTCTCTAATAATTCTGCCGAGATCTCTTTTTGAGACGGAGACATCGAAAAGGCGTCTCGTAGCTTCAAAGCTGTAGCTTTGATTTCCTTAAATTGCTCCACTTCCTCGGTTAGAGAACGAGAACCCCACGCGTTTGGATCTTTCAAGAGATCCTATATTCAATTTAATCAAGACAATTAATGAAAGCAAATAAATCATAGGAAATTGTTTTTCATAACATTTAAAAAAACTTTAATTTAAAGAATAAGATACCAACCAAAAATACTGATTTATCGTCGTTCCTTTCATCAATTTCAGTCAACATCGACAACACCTTATCAAGATTAAAATCGAGGTAACGTTTATATAGACGATATACATTATTCGAATCGCCGGTTAACCTCTTTTTAAAGACTCCTTTCAACCAAATCTCTCGTTTTTGGGGATCACTATTGTTAATATCATAAAGACATACGACCGACAAGGGATATCCAAAAAATTTGTTTCGGTATTTCATATCCGGAAATCGGATAGCTTCCAAAACCCCCTATTTTGAAAAGACGATGAATATTATTGAAATTTCACAATAAATGCGTATAAGCCAATATATTACCTCCGGATTATCCTCGACAAGAATGAATTCCTTAAGCGCATTATATTCCAAGATGTTGCCTTCTCTTCCACGACTTAAAAGATTAAACTTTGCAATCCATTCTTGGCCATCCTTTTTAGTAAATTTTTCAAATTGAAGTCGAATTCCATACACGGCTTCACCTTGCAGAAAGTCTTTTATTCTAGCAGATCTGATCCTGGCACAATCAGTCACAGCTTCAAATTGTTTAAAAAAATGGATCTTTCCCAAAAAATGATGCTTAAAAGCTTTGATTTCGGTAAAGGTAAAAACTTGTGGCGTAAATAATAATTTAGAAGAAATATCTTCGGTTGATTCCTTAAGCAGCTCATAATAAGCCTTTATTACTGCACATCCAAAATCAACTCTTAATAACTGGGCTTCATTTGTTCGTGATATCGGGCTTCTTGCCGCAACCCATAAAGCATAAATATCTTCTAAATCAATATCCTCAATATGTTGTTCTAAGGAATTCAATAATTCCTGATCATGTAATTTTGGCTTGACCAGTTGTTGCCAAATATCAACGAAGCGATAAAACCCGGGCACGTGAATTGCAACATTCTCCCTTATCGCTTGTTCCAAAATGATCAACCTAGGAAATTCTCGCCATTCATCTGGAAGTTCTGTGACATCACCACCATCCATGTTTCCAGACCCTAATAACAACGATGAATCCTCAAATAAATTAAACAAACATCTTGTAGCTGTATGTTGCACGGCACTTGAAATCGTATCAGGGTCCATAGATATGATCTCTAGCAAAGCATCTTGAATGGTCCGCTTTTCTTGTTCGGCATAAACAAAGACACAGGCTCTTGATTTAACCCTCGATAGATATTCAAAAGACTTTTCCAATATAGTTACAAACTTATCCATCAGACTTATAAAGGTTAAAGTAGACTCATCATTCTTTGGAATTGCTTCGGCGCGTCTGAAATTCTGTAAAATTCTTCCGTCACTAGTATAAAGGCATAAACCCCATCCAAAGGGACGCGATAAGAAAGGGTCCGTGGACATTGAAATTAACAGATTATGATCGGTTTTTTGAGGAAAATTTGCCGATGCAACCCCAATGAACTTTGTAATATTTTAAGAAAAAGGATTAGTAAAGAAAAAATGATTTATGATTACCTGAACATAAAAGCTTTCATACCTGAGCCTGCTTGGTTTCCAAGGCTTTCAAATATGGTGAACTATTTAATCTACTATCATATTTAACGATCTGTTTAATTCGTGTATCTACAACTTTTTGAGTTTCCTTGGACTTTTTGTCATCAATATTTAAATTGTCAAAATAATCAGCCAAGTCCTCAATATCAACATCATCGTCATGTATACTCGATGATGATGAACCATTTGTAGCATCCATTTCATCTCCTCCCGATTTCCAATCTTGTATAAAATTTTTCAAGTCTTCGGCTTTCTCAATTGACAAATAAGGAATCATTGCAATAGAACCTTCAGCGTCTTTTCTACAAACATTTACAAATTCGCAAGTTGTGCATCTCGCATTGTAATGCCAAGGTACTTTTTGTGCTGTGATAATTCGCGGCAATTCATCATGAAAGAACCTTTCTATCTTTGGAAGTAGAAAGTCCATACGAAATGTTTGTAATTGGAAGGGACCTTGCGTGGATGGAAGATAGATTCCACCTGTACGTGAAATAGAAAGACCACGAATCTTTTTAATCACAAATTCAAGAAGATATGCATACGAAGCCACTTGAAACTGAAATAAATTTATGAAGTTATAATTAGAATTTGGGGGATGAGTTAGATTTTTTTTTTTTTATTTTCATACCTGATGAGGAACGCGTGCACTTTTTGAGGCTTTTGCATCGTAAACCATCAATTTTTTCTCGCCATCTTCTTCTTTAACTTCAATGAAATCTGGTATAAAAGCTTTTAATTTCACAATGTCTTTTATACCCATTTCATCATAAAATCCTTTAGGTACGTCAAACTTCATTTGATACAACATTTGACCGACTTTAACATTTCTCAAGACATCTTTTGCATCAGCCGGTGACATATGCTGGCAATCGATGACCTCATACAGTTCATTTAATTTCCGTTTAATCTCGGATTCAAATTCCATTCCACGATGCCTTAACGCATCACGTAATGTAGAATCATCCATTTTAGGAGTATATTTTTTGTTGCCTTGAGCTGATTTCTGTCTTATATAATCTTTATCCCACATAAGCCGTAATAATTTGTCGCAATTATATTGATAATACTTTGATAAATCGGATATTGCCATTGAAGTGGTTATTTCTTGAGAGGCTGGAGAAGCCTTACTAGACTTTTTTGTCTTTTTTGTCTAAAAAGTAACAATTATCATTTATTAAAATTATCATCAACTTTAACTTAATACAAGTATAATTAGAAATATTCCAACCTGAGACATTTTTTTACAGACTTCGTTGATGTTAACAAAAAGGTTGATATATCAGATTTGATGTTTTTTATTGTTTAAAAAAAATAAATAAATAAATCGGTCATCATAAATTTATGCCCGCCCATTTTTTCCATTTCCATATTTGTAATACGTCCATTTTTCCGATGATCACAAGGTCAGATCACATGGCTTAGGTAATTTTCGATATCCTTTTTGGTAAGATCGAATAGCTGCGGTAACACAACCCCTGGATTATTTAAAAAAAAGGGTTTTTTGATCAGCAAATTCTCCTTTTGAAAATAATAATTTTTCAAATATGTCCCGGTCTATTTTTAAGCGAAATATAAGCTGTATTTATCAAAGACGCATGATGCAATCAATGACTTGGAGAAACGTTCTTAATAAACAACAGCATAATCAAAATTTTGCTTCCGCAGCAAATTTAAAAGGTGAACGTTCAAAATTCGTTGATGAGCAACCAACAATTCAAACTAGGTAAGTTCTTCCATCATTAGCTCAATGGTGATAATAATGTGATATTGACAAATTTTAATTTAAAGTACGCCGCCACCTACACCGCCTACACCACCTAATCCTGTACCATCAGATATTCTCGGAGCCTCTTTACCATTTGTGAATCAATATGGATGGACGATTGATACATTAGCACAAGGAGCGAAAGCATTAGGATACCCGTACGTTAGTCATGGATTATTTCCTAGAGGTGGAGCGGAGTTGATCGACTATTTTTTGGATGATTGTAGAAGAAAAATGACACATAAAATTTTCGACAAGATGGATGGGTAAGTTAATTAACATTCTCAAAGGAGTAAGATGAATGCTATTAATTTAAACCATACGAATTTTTTTAGATTAAAGGTTCATCAAAAGATACGATTTGCGTGTGTAACTCGACTAAATCTTACAAAACCATACATAAAAAGATGGCCAGAGGTATTCTAATTAGAAATCACTTTTGAATTATATTAAAGAAATTCATTTCTCATGATTTTTTCATGTATATATATTACGATAACAAGGCACTTGCGATCATGGCACAACCAAATAATGTTTTAATGTCGGTTGAACATTTAGCGAGGTTAGTTGACGATATGTGGTATCTGGCGGGGGATAAAAGTGTTGACGTAAGCAATTATTTTGTCATCTTGATTTAATTATACTGTACTTTATTTTTTAATAAAGACCATTTACCGTCTTTAGATGAATTGGTATTCTAAACGAGGGATCCTTGCTGCTATTTATTCATCTACAGGTAAATTCTCATTGTCGTGTAAAAATCCTCCCCAAAATATATCTTTTATTGATGTTAAATGATTTATTCTTATGGTAGAATTGTATATGGTACAAGATACATCACCGGAATTCATAGGAACATTTCAGTTTTTAGATCGAAGACTGAAGGATAGTGCTACATTTGGACGAATAGTTGGAGACGTTAATAATTATGTTGATGTTGCTATTAGATCTGCTATTGGAATTCTATCCTCGGTAAGTCTTACGCAATTTTGGTTTGATAGACAACTTGATTTTAGCTAATCGATTACTATTTTTGTAGAAAGGGATAGGAAAATTTTAGATATATAAAGAAATTTTTAGAAATTTTATTTCACTTGAAAAAGTAAATAAATACCAAACAAACAAACAAAATTGTATTAATAGGTTTTAATAACTTCAAAATGAATCATTCTAATAAATTAATTATCGATTCTCTTTTGCTAAATAATTTCCGTCTTGTCTATAGAAAAACATATTTATCCTTTATAATATTTTTTGTTTTGATCATCATGATAGCGACACGTTCTCACTACATGCCATTTAGCAGGTAAAATGGTTATTATAAAAATGAGTTTGAAAAAAAAATGAATCAACACCAGCACCGAAAAGCCAACTTTTTTTTTTTTAAAAAAAAAAAAAAAAATTAAACATTTCAATTAAAAATGGATTATCGTTTGATTTTACGAATAATTTCCTTGAATCTGTTATTTTCCTTATTTAATAAATTCGTGAACGCATCATATCTTGTTACATCCCCGATACTTATTGATAATAAGATATATGCAGTAGGAGAAATTTTAGAAAAAAGATTTCTTAGCATTGATGTATCAACACTCTCGAAAGATACAAGTACGCTCGAATACGAACCTTTAAGCAAGTTGGAAATAAATAGTATATTAAATCCAAGAAGCGCAGGATGGAAGGATTTTATCGTCATTTATGGAATCAAAGATTTTTTACAAATGATACCGTATATGCTGAAATATAATATAACGAGTCATGAATTGACTTCTGATGCGAACGTGGGTCCAAAATATGATGTCTTTATAGAAGAACCATTCATTGGACCTGATGATAAAGGGAACATTTATTTATTTGATGGAATTGATAGTTTTAATATCTTTAATATGGAAACATATAATTGGTATATAATGAAAACCAAGTTTGATGAAATCTTTCCGAAAAACACCCTTTTAATTTATAAAAGATATACGGCTACAATTTTACCTAATGGTGTGATCGTATTTCTTGGAGGTTTATTAACATATAAACCTGTTTCCATGAATAAAATTATTCTTTATGATACGGAGGAAGGAAAATGGTCGACGTTAAAAGCCGTTGGTGACTTTGTTGGATCACGAGAATTACATTCGGCATGCTTAACTTCCGATGGACGCATAATTGTTTATGGCGGAAAACTTGAATTTCAACAGGTTGAACCAGATTTAGCCGTGTTGGATACTTCCGTTACTCCTTATAAATGGACTATTCCTCAAATTATAAATCCAATTGGTCAAATAATTCAACATACAACAGTCATGGTCAATAATACGTTCATGGTTTTATACTTTGGTAAATAAAAAAAAAAAAATTTGATTTTAAAAAACAATTAAAAATAAAAATTAACAATTTTTTTTTAAAAAAAAAAAAAAATCAAATCTTAGGTTATAATATAACTATTACGGGAACATCAACATTTAATCAAAAAGCATTCATGTTAGATACAAGTAATTTATCACAATATACATGGTATAATATGGAACTCGTAAAGAAAGGTAAAAAAAAAAAGATCTCGTGATTTGTAAATAATAATCTTCCTTTATCTAATTAAATTCTTCGAATCAATAGATGATATGAAAGGCAAAGTAAAGTTAACCACGATATGGATTATATTTATTGTTGTCGCGAGTTTAGTGATATCGACCTTATTTGGATATTTGATATTTAAATGTTATAAAATGAGAAATAAAAATTAAAATACAACAATTCAGAATTAAAGGTGTTAAAAAAAATTCACAAATTAAAGGGAAATAAAGTTTTTTTTTTTTCATCCTGAGAAAACATTTTTTAATAGATTTGATCTCGTCAAACATTCCTTAACCTTTTTATGGCGTTTTTTTTTTAAATCTAATATATAAACCCGGCGAGTAAACCAGCATGGCTTATATCCATCTTTATTACAATTGTTTAAAAAAATTTCTAATATTTCTTAACGTCCCAAAAATAAAATTAGAACTTGTTGAAGAATTATTATAAATTCATTTTGCAAAATTCAAAATTCAGAAACTAGCTTAGAGCAGGTGTAGCAATCGACTTAACATACAGCAGAGGAGGTAAATAATAATTGAATATTATAAACATTTATATCATTTATCAATCACTTTTTATTTTTACCATATTGTTCTATTTTTTGCTTTTTTTTACTTCAATTTATACAAGTCTAATAAGCGTTATTATTTTTCAAATACTGTAATATAAATTTGCTTATAACATTTTCTAATGAAATAAATTAAATGGAACCTTTGTCAATAAAATGGGTCGTAAAAAATCAATTTTACTTTTGCCAAAGTCAGATTTTTAGCAGTTCATTGTTGGTTTTAAAGGAAATGATCGACATTCCACACTAAAATAGCTCCGATTTGTGCACGCCTCGATGACAAAAAAAAAAAAAAAAACCCGACACAGTATATTAGAAATTTATGAATAGGATTTAATTTTCGATCTACAGAAAATGAAAAGGCATATGCTTATAATATTGATTTGGAAGTTCATCTATAAATAACTTACAATATAAATTAAGTGAGGTTTTAAAGCTGGATATTGAGTTCATAAGCGTATTGAAAAAATTGAATATGTTAAAAAATTTATTAAATGAATTATAATGTCAAATTATTAATTATTTTGGATTAAAAACATCTCTACTACCGCTTTTGTTGCTTTTGTCAAACCCAAACCCCTAAAATTAAGGGAGCTGATTTTACATACACAAAATACATTTTTATATTCGAAAATTTCTACCAAATCGACATTATCCACTTTTCAACACGATAATTTTCACCTTTTCCAATCATGGATTCCAACACTTTTGCAAATAGTTATCCTTGTTTCTTTCCTGACATGCCATCAATTGATAATGATCGTTTCTTTGGTTTAATGGTTTGGTGGGTTTACCAGTAGCCAAATAATTCATTAAAGTCGATGCTTGTGTACAGGAGGCTCCACCTCACCTTCAGGAATTCTTCCAACACAGGTTCATAGTCTCCATCACTGGCTACAAGAACCAATATGCCACGATTTCTAGGTTCAAGGAGAACTGCTGTTGTTATCGCTATTTCTTTCAGATAATTAGAAGATTTGTCCGCAAGAATTTTCGCTGTTCCAAACCCTAAACCTAAACTTTGAAGCTCTTCTCTGCTTGTCTTGAGAAAACGCATGTCCATTAACCAAAGCATTATCTATTTCTTTAGATTAATTCTAGTTCTTTCAAAATTAGGAGTTGTTGTAAAAGTTGAAGATTTTACTACATTTGTTTTTATTTTCAATTCTGTATTTTACACGAGTAGTGGAGGCGGTTTCTGAAATGGGAAAAAAAAAATAAAGTACCGTGTGATTAGGGTGCTCCCATCGTCATGTTGGTCTACATTCCTACAATTATGATTGGTCATCCTCACACCACATGATCAATATTACGGTTATAAACTTATACGTTCTAACAAATAAAAGTTTCACGCCTAACCCTAACCTAAGCCTAAGCCTAACCTTACCGGATTTACTAATTTACTTCTACACTACGATGGACTGTTATAATTGATATTAGTTAGGATTAGGGTTAAGTTTAGGGTTAGGGTTATATACTGTGAAACGGGTAAATATGACACAGCTTATGTGGCGTAAAAGATCGACTAATTTGACATAAATGATATATATGATATGTCAGACATATGTGACATAACTGACATATTAAACATAGTTGACATATTAGACATAACTGACATATTAGACATAGTTGATATAGTAGACATGTTAGTTATATCTTTCTATATAATTTATTTATATAAATAGATAGCTTTTTAGTTCATGTAAAAAGACAGACAGATAGGAATTTGACAAGTTAGTTTTCAGTAGTTTTAGAGACAACTGGCCTATCGCATTACATTTTAGTCTTAGTATTTCATTACTCTTCTTTCTTATTTTATTTTCTTATTTTCTTTTTTTACTCGTGAATAAACACACTATTTTACAAATATAAATCACTGGCAACCTGTTGAATCACTACTCGTCGTAATAGTATAAATACTTTTGACAATCAGTCTAGAATAAAACTTGTGAATCGTTGAAAGATTACTGCTCAATTAAAAAGAATAAACTGCTTGAACACCTCATCTAACAGTCATAGTTTGCAATAATTACACATTAACAATACTGTATAAGATGATTTATCATCAGTATGATACTGGTGTTATTTCAATTTTAAGAAACAGAATTTTTCATAGGTTAGGATTATTTATCATGCTATGGGATATTATAAATAAGTATAATTATTATATTAACCAAATGTAAAGTGAGGAGTAAGTAAATTTAACTCTATATAACCCTAATCAAAATTCTTAAATCCTAAATCCTAATCCTAATCTGACCCTATGCAACTTCTATATTATATAAAAAAAATCTAATATGAAACTTTATCTTATATAAATTTTTTTAAAAAAAATAATAAAAAGAAATTTTGATAATTTAAAAAAAAAAACAATTTTAAATGAAAAAATATGTTTAATAATAAAAGTATAATTTAATAAATCAGTTAATTAATAATATACTCCTATAGAATACAATTTAACAAAAGTATACTTGATATATGTAAAAAAAACTAATAAATAAAAAATAAAAAATAATAGTAACTAATTAAAATGATGAAAGTATATTAGTAAACTTAACCTTCTATATAATGTTTATAATGCTTCGAACGGTTCAGTTCAGTCCAGATTATAGGCCAATCCAAAACTGAACTAAAATTTTCAGTTCAGTTCAGTTCAGATTAAAAATCTTAAAATTGCCAATCTGAAACTGAACTGAACCGTAAATCGGTAAAAATCTGAACTGAACTGAAAATTTCAGATTAATCCAAAATTTCAGATCATTTGGAATGATAACTTCAATCATTCAAATGAACGATTTTTGGAACGATAATTTGATCATTCCAATTGAATAATTTTCTTATCATTCGTTTAGAACGATAATTTCATCATTCCAATTAAACGATTTTCTTATCATTTGTTTGGAATGATAATTTTATCGTTCTAATTAAACGATTTTCTTATCGTTTGTTTAGAACAATAATTTCATCATTCTAATCAAATGATTTTCTTATCATTTATTTGGAACGATTTTCTTATCGTTTATTTGGAACGATTTTCTTATCGTTTATTTGAAATGATAATTTTATCATTCCAATCGAACGATTTTTTATCATTTATTTGGAACGATAATTTCATTGTTCTAATCAAACAATTTTTTTATCATTTATTTAGAACAATAATTTCATCATTTCAATCGAACAATTCTTTTATCGTTTGTTTGGAACGATAAATTTAATTGTTCTAAACGATCTAAAATTTCAGATTAATCTGAAATTTTCAGTAATCTGAAACTGAACCGAAGTTGATCTGAACTGAAAATTTTCAGATTAATCTGAACTGTTCAGAGCTTTAAATATTTATAATCTAGATTTTTTTGATTTATAATAAATTGTTATTTTTTTAGAAAAAAACAATAAATAATAAATTTTATATTTACAATCAACTCTTAATATAATAAACTTTTAATATAATGAATTTTTTAAACAAATATAATAAAATACTCTTGTTATAACAAATTGGCCAATCAAATCTATTAAAATCTTTACTATAACTTTATAGTGAAGTTGAAGTCTAGAACATAGAATTCATTATAATAAGAGTTAACTATATATTTTACATAAATCATATTATCATAAAAAAATAATAATAACTATAATTTTTTTAAATATTAATCTTTTTTTTTATTATAGCAAATTTTTAAAAAGAAAATATTTATAATTTCATATTTCTTACTTCTTTTAGTATACTTTATTCTTTTATAAATTAGTTTACTACAAATAGTTTTTTATTAATAATTTTGAAAAAAAAATTTGTTTTTTATTTATATAATATAATAATAAAAAATTTTATTTATAATATAAAAATCTTTATAAAAAAATTTTTTTTTAAATAATTCTAATATTATAAGATAAATATTTTTAAAAATATAATAATCTTTTTTATATAAAAAATTAAAATTACTATTTAATTTTTCATTTGAAAAAAAATTGTAAAATTACTTTTATTTATTTTAAAATTAATATTTTTTTATAAACTTTATTTTGAAAAATCATCATCATTTTATAAGATATTTAGAAATTTTATTTTATTTAAAATAAAAATAAAGAAAAAATCATTTTTATATTCTACAATTGTAATATAATAAATATATTAAAACCTATTAAAATTTACAAAATTATTATCAAAATTATTATAACTCATTAAAATCTATTAAAACTTTTGAGACTAAAATTATTAGATAAAATCTAAAGGTTTTATAAGTCAACTAAATAATAAAAGTAAAATTTAGTAAAATTATATTAAAACTTTATTAAAAAATATACAAAATTTAGAAAAAAATAAAATTATATTAAAGCTTATAAAAATGTAAATTTATATTAAAATCTTAATAAAAATTAATATTTAAATATTTTGCTAAATTCAAAATGAGTTTAAATAAGCAATCTTATTTAAAATCTATTAAAATCATCAAAATTATAGAAATAATTTTTAAAAAGTTTTGATTTTTATCAAAATAGTTTAAGATTTTGTCTTACAATTATAAGAAAAATAATTCTATTATAAAATAAAGTTTAAATCTTACTTCAACCTTTAGAAAAAGCTTTTTAAAACTAAAAATATTTCATAAAATAATATAAAGCATTAAATTTAATAGATAAAATGATAAACCACTTTTCAAAAAAAAATAAATATAGTTAAATTATTTAAAAATAAAAATAAAGAATAATAAAAAAGATTTTAAAGAATTAATAAAATAATTTTCTAAAAATTTATTAAAATAATAATGAATCAAAATATTTAGTACTAAATTTAAAGTCAAAAAATCAGAATTATAAACTTTTTAGTATTTAAAGAAAAATAACAAAATTCTATTATATAACTTAAAATTTTTAAAGATACTATACTTATGTAGCAAATAAGCTTGAATAATTAAAATAGTAAATTTATATCTGAAAAAAAAAACTTATACTTAATTTATAGCTTACTTAATTAAATAATAAGATTGTGTAGATAAAAGATATAAATAATTTATATTATTTTATATAGCCAAATATTGTAATATCTATTGAAGAATCCAATAAGATCAAAAATTTAGAAAATTTTAAATAAAACTATTATTTAATATATCACTAAAGATAGTATTACATCTAGTTGTAACTAATTGCAATGTTGTCTTTAATCTTTAGGAATGATTATTTTAAACATTTTAATTGAATGATTTTACTATTTGATTACAATAATAATTTTGATTTTCATAATTGAATAATATTTTTATTGTTAATTAAATAATAATTTTTATTATTCTAATTAAATAATTCTTTTATCATTTAATTGAAAAAACTTACCAATTTTCAGATTAAAAACCAAAATTTTTGATTTAATTCAAATTTTTTCAGTTTAGATTAGAATTATAATCTAAAAAAAAATCTGAACTAATCTGAAAATATTGCATATTGATTTTTATGCAATCTAAAACTAAACTGAAGTCAATCTGAATTAAAGATCTAAACATCATTTACAAAATATCAAAATACTAGAAGATGCTTCTAAAACAAACCTTTAACAATTTCTCTAAATTCTTCATATTCATTCTTAAAATTTTCAAAAGTTGTAAAAAAATTAATGCAAAAAATATACACAAATAAATATATCACAGAGTTTAATTAATATGAAAAAACCAGATATAAGAAATATATACAATAAATATATCTTAATTAATATGAACACAAGCAAATATATCACGCTGACTTTATATTAACTGATCCGACCCGTACAATCGATCCAAATTTTAAAACCAGTTGTATTTTTTTAAAAAAAAGGGGAAAATTTTAAAATTCATACATATAAAAATGACAATTTTGAGCTGCATATAAATTTATATTTCATAGTTTTGCAGCTAATTAGTCATTTTTTTAAAAATTAATATTTAACTTTTGGGGATCTTAAAATGCAAGAACCATTTTAATAGTAAGATCCAGAAAAAAAATTTCATATATATAATTTACTATGTAATTAAATCGGGCGTTACTTTCCGACGCGACTGTACAAGAAAAGTGGGTATTGGAAAAAAGAAAACTCGCTAGTTTTCTATCATG